TTTACAATCCTATATGGATTTTGGCAGATTTGCAAGTATGTTTATTATAGATTTCTATGAATTTGTAAAGATTTCTTTCATGGATTTCTTAGGATTTGTTTCGGTGCACAATCTAAAAAGAATTTTTTCAATGCATAATTTTTTAGTGACAACATAAAACGGATTTGTTTCGATGCACAATCTGGTATACCAATTGGCATCCTCAATGTTCCCATGCTTTTCGAAATAATCAGCCAAGGCCATTACAGTATTGTCCGATGGTCTCCAATGACAATCTTGCAACATACTAAACCCCTTTTTCATCGCTTCAATGGCCTTGTTATGTTATGGCTTGTCAACCTTCCTTCCATAAGGAACTCCCATGTGTTATAATCTGGTTGACAGTCTCTCTCCAATGTGTGCAGATGCAATGCCTCAGCTTTCTCAGTCAATTCCATTCTGCATATATGCACCAAGGACATTGGAGACTCGAATATCATACCCGCTGTATGCTCGTTGTTTATTTGCTTGAGCATGCCTTTTCTTCTTCTTTCCATCTATGTTGGCCTTTCTTCATACGGACTACTCAAAGGCTTGTTGGCATGTCCAAGCAACAAAATAATATTGATCACAATCAGGGCAAGCTTTTTTCCATGGGCTGGATTGCAGCAAGCTGCATTCCATGACCTACAAACCCGAGAAACGGATATCAAATTCAGATAATTTAGAAGTGATGAATATTCGCACGAGGATAGTGTAGTCCATATTAGCACACTTTCAAACTTTAGACCTCTGCCATTGTAGAAGAGATTGGTCCTGAATAATGACAACTTGTACATCCAAGTAGCTAAAATTTGGTGGCTCGAATTATGATCAACATAAATACATCTTATCACGGAGTGTTTCTTGGTGCTCTTTTGTTATGTCTCTTAAGATTATGTGATGACAATGACGTGGAAGAAATGAGATAGGTTCTAAAAGAGGATGTCCTTAGACTTGAAATTACAGAGAACTCTCTTTGCTTTGTAACGGCAATTTAAAACTTTCAAATCGTTGGTTGGAGACTTGAAGCATCTTATGTTTCTCAGATTGAACCCTGCATGCAATCTGACATCTGTAGGAGGAATTGGAAAAGCTTAGCCTCATGGATGTTTATTATGACCCCCAAGTATGTCATATGGGCACATTATTGGTAGGGATAAGCACCCAATTGTGTCCTCAATATTTGCTCATTGAGAGGAGTAATCACTCATGATGCTAGGTTCATTCCATTTCCTCATACACATGTCAGACTGCATTCAGGTTTCAGTTTAAAAAACATAAGACACTTCAAGTCTCCAGCCAACATATTGAAAGTTTTAGATTGTCGTTACAAAGCAAAATGAGTTTTCTGCAATTTCAAGTCCTAGGATACCCTCTATAAGAACCCTTCTCATTTCTTCCATGTGTCATCACAAGTCTTATGAGCTACAAGTCTTAAGAGAGTATATCTTGGTGCTATTTTTTTGTAGCTCTGAGGACTATGTGATGATACATGGAAGAAATGAGATAGGTTCTTATAGAGGGTGTTCCAGGCTTGAAATTATAGAAAACTCTCTTTGCTTTGTAACGGCAATCTAAAACTTCCTATGTGTTGGTGGAGACTTGAAGACTTGTGTCCAACACGAAACTTATGGCTGGTAGTAAAACACCGATTTTCCTGTTGAGATCTAATTCGATCTTCATAGATTTCTCGAGAAATTTTCTTACGAAGTTTTGTTATAGCATCTATAACGGCCTCCGGTTTAGGTGGACAGCCCGGCAAATAGACATCCACAGGAATTAGCTTATCAACTCCCCGAACAGTACTATAAGAATCGGTACTGAACATCCCCCCTGTAATTGTGCATGCTCCCATAGCAATAACATATTTTGGTTCAGGCATTTGTTCATATAATCTTACTAAAGAAGGAGCCATTTTCATTCTTATGTTTCTTAGACTGAACCCTACATGCAATCTGACTTCTGTATGAGGAACTAGAATTAACCTAGCGTCATGGTGCTTATTATTACTCCCAATTGTGTCATATGGGCACATTATTGGAAGGAATAAAAACCCAACTGTGTCCTAAATATGTGCTCTTAGAACACAATTGAGAGGAGTCCCGCTAGTTTCATTATGTTTCCTCGTACACATGTCAGACTGCATGCAAGGTTTAGTTTCATAAACATAAACACTTCAAGTATCCAATCAACAAATTGAAAGTTTAGATTGCCGTTACAAAGCAAAGGAGTTTTCTGTAATTTTAAGTCCTAAAATACCCTCGATAAGAACCTGTCTCATTTCTTTCATGCATGTGTCGTCAAAGTCTTAAGAACCACAACAAAAGAGCACCAAGATACACTCTCTACGAGTCTACGACAAGATATATTTATGTTGAGAGCCACCAATTTTTAGCTACTTGGATCGACAAGCTGTCATTGTAGAGGTACAATCTCTTTCGAAATGACAGAGATCCAGAGCTAAAAATTGTGCAAACATGGACTATGATATGCTGTTAAAAATATTCATCACTTTATATTTTCTAGATTTCATGCCTCTTACTCGGGTCTGAAGCTCCTTGGAATGCAGCTTGCTGCAAGACAATCCATTGGAAAAAGCTTGACCTGACTGTGCCAAAGTTCAACTTCTCCAATGCTCCTCGAAGATTGTGTACTTGGTCCGATGATCAATCAAGCGAAACACTGAAAGGAATATTGAAGAGTGCTTCACGTCTCGGCTGGGGAATTTATCTTCCTTGGTTTTCCATTTCTCTGTGTTTGTAATCGATGACCATTTGATCTACGCAGCCGCAAAAACCCCTTGCCTCAGACAACTTGTTCTACCAACCTAGAACCCAATTGCAGTGATTGGATTTGAACAAGCCTCATGGCTCAAGGAGCTCAAGCCAATTTGGCAAGATGTCGAGAATGGCACAAAGGTCGAACATAAAAGCAAAGAACAAGAGTGATTACAAAGCAATATGAATTGCAATGCATAGTGATTTGAGGAAGCCTGAATGTGCGTGGATTGGCAATAACATCGAATAGATTTATATAGAATTACCATCAAATACGTTTAAGGCACACGTGTTATATGCGAATTGGCAGTAACACGTCAATATCTCTTATAGTATTTGTCCATGTGGTGTATGCAGATTGGCAATAACACGTCAATATCTCTTATAGTATTTGTCCATGTGGTGTATGCAGATTAGCAATAACATGTGATATTTCTCAAAATATTTGTCCATGTGACACATTTAGACAACGATCATATTTAAATTGGGACCAACGCACAATGTCAATAATTTTTGTTTTAAGTGACGTTGTAGGATTTTATTACTTATTTAAAATTCAAATGAATTTGCATTTAAAAAGTATCCTAAATTCATTTTGGCCGGGTTTATATCTTTTTTTATTTATATTATTTGTTGTTTTACACATAATCCACTTGACATTACGTAATTGGCTTTGTGGGCCTTACATGGTTGCCCCATCATACACTACCGGATTTCATTAACAAGGTAAGATGGAATGACAACATTGACGACCAAAGCAGGAGATGAAGAACGAAATTGATGAGTTTAGAACATAAAGGACCAAACTAATAAGTTGACATAATATAATGGACCATTTGGGATAAAAACACTAGCATTTGAAAATTCCAACTTTTTTGTTTGTCAAAACTAGAATGCCTTATGATTGGCTTTACAAGTGGATACAAGGAGTGAGAGTGGTTGTTTATTATTTTAGAATTTTAAATTATTTAAAAAAGAAGAAGGATTAGTCACTTAGTATTACAGTTTAGTGGTATTCAGCTTCATTTGTAATTGAGAAGTTTTAGGTTTGATTTTTGCCAACGGTGAATTCGAACAACATTATTATGGCTAGCCCACTAACTCACCCCTTTAGTATAGAGAATAGTGTTTGTTCAGAAAAAAAAAAAAAAAGAAAAAAAAAAAACGAAGGATTAGTCCATATGGCATCATTATGATTGGCTTTATAGGCCCCTATGGGTCCCACACATCACACTGATGAATTGGAGTAACAGATAAATGAGTTTGAAATATAAGGGACCAAATTGATGCATTGACAAAACATAAAGTACCATTTGTGATAAAACTCAAAAATAAAAAAATATATAATAAAAGAATGAGGTTGCTAATGATATTCTAACTTTGCTAGGTCTTAATTTGATCTGATTCGATGCTAAATGGGACATGGATTGACAAGTTAGATCTAATGATTTGAATCCATTATTTTGATTATAAATGGATCTGGATATGAATTAAGTTTGATCCGATCCGAATTCGGTTTGTTGATAATTTTATTTTGTAGTTTTGAGTTCAAATCCTATTAAAGACATTTTGAAATCATGTTTTCTTTCAAAATGGTTTAGGATTGATCTACTGGTCATCATTCATTAGAGAGTTGACCAATCGATCATCGAAAAAGTCAAGGATTGCCATAAAAGTCACCTGAAAGTTGGTTGGCCGGCCACTAGTTACCAAAAAATTTAGTGAGATTGAGTAGCAATCATTCCATTATTCTGAAGTACAGTGATATTTATAAGATGATTGGATTGATTTTTCAATTGGTACCCAACCTAAAAATATCCTTTTTTTTTTTTTTTTGAAGTTTTTCTTAGAAATGGTAATTACACTACAAAGCTCCTAAAAATACTATAAAATGTGTGGAGTCAGTTGGAGTAAAATTGTGAATGAACAAATTTTAGTTGTCAAACTGCGACATAGTTCAACAAACTTATATTTGAAGAGTTACATTTTTAAATAAAAACACTTGAAAAGCTTATTTGGATGTGTTTTTAATATATCTGAAAATATTTTTTGAAACAATTCTTAGTAAAATGCCAGTAAATCTTGAAAAAAAAACTTAAATATTTCTTGGAAGAAGCATCAGAAATTTCTCTAAAACCAATTTCAGTCAAAGACACACAGTGTTTTGCTTCCAAATACAGCTAAAAGCGCTTTTTAGTCTTTTTCAAAACGAGTTTTAAACCCGGCCTGAAAACAAAACCCCAGCATAAACCCTGAAAACAATCCCCTGCTCCAAGCTTCTCGCAGCTCAAAAATGAGCAGAAGGCGGTTGAAAACTCTCCTCTGGCAATCAATTTCCGCCATATCTCCGTCCCCTCTGAAGTCCAACCCATTTTTCTCCACAAACCCATCACAACCATTCCCTTCTCCATTCAAATCCTCCCACCAATGTCTAAAGCTTTGCTTTCCCAGATTACTTTGCACTTCTTGGCAGGACAATCTCGATGGTCTGTTCGATCCCAACTATTTGTTCAAGCCGGAGAGTTCTGGAGTTGAGTCTATTTCAGCAGAGGAATTCGCCTCTCTGCGCGATTCGGTGTTGGATACCAGTGCTGGTGGTGGGTCTTCGATACCAAAATTTGAATCAGCTAAGTTTTCTAACAATGCCATTTTGATTTCGAATGCTATCAGGAATAATAATGATGAGTTTGATGAACCCAGAAGTTTCTTAGGCAGTTTAGGGATAATCTGAATGAAACTCTGGTGGTGGAGGTGTTGAAGCTTATACAAAATCCTGAATTGGGTGTGAAATTTTTCATATGTGCAGGTAAACAAATTGGGTATAGTCACACTGCTCCTGTGTACAACGCGCTGTTAGAGTTATTGGAGTGTGGTAATAAGAGGGTAGCGGAACATTTTCTGCAAGAAATTAAGGGTGATGATAGAGAGGTGCTTAGGAAGTTGCTTAATGTGTTGATTCGGAAGTACTGCCAAAATGGGTTGTGGAATGTAGCTTTGGAAGAGCTGGGGAGGCTTAAGGATATCGGATACAAGCCAACTCAAGCAACTTACAATGCTTAAGTTCAAGTGGTTCTAGAAGCAGATAAGTTGGACACAGCACACTTGGTCCATGTGGAGATGTTGGATTCAGGGTTTAAGATGGATGAGTATACATTTGGTTCATTTGTTCACACCCTTTGCAAAGCTGGGAGGTGGAAGGAAGCTCTTGCATTGGTTGAGACGGAAGAGTTTGTGCCCAATACTATTCTTTAGACGAACATGATATCTGGGTTGTGCGAAGCTTCACTTGTTGAGGAAGCTAAGGATTTTTTGAACAGAATGCGATGCGATTCTTGCATTCCTAATGTTGTGACCTATAGGACTTTGCTTTGTGGGTGTTTGAAGAAAAGACAGCTCGGTAGGTGCAAGAGAATTCTTAGTAGGATGATCACAGAAGGTCGTATTCCAAGCCCTCAGATATTTAGTTCTCTTGTACATGCTTATTGTAGGTCCGGAGATCACTCTTATGCTCATAAGTTACTTAAGAAAATGGTAAGATGTGAGTGCCAGACAGGCTACGTGGTTTACAATATCTTGATTGATGGTATATGTGGAAACAAGGAATTACCAAGCCCAAATATGTTAGATTTGTCTGAAAAAGCTTATGGTGAGATGCTTGATGCAGGGGTTATGCTAAGTAAGGTCAATGTGAGCAATTTTGCATGGTGTCTTTGCGGTGCCGGAAAATTTGAGAAAGCCTATAAGGTTGTCAGCGAAATGATGAACAGGGGTTTTGTTCCTGACACTAATACGTATGCTAATGTTATTGGCTTTTTGTGTAATGCCTCCAAGGTAGAACAAGCATTTTTGTTGTTTAAAGAAATGAAAAGGAATAGTATTGTTCCTGATGTCTATACCTATACTATTTTAATTGATAGTTTTTGTAAAGCTGGTCTTATTGAACAATCTCGGAGCTGGTTTAATGAAATGATACGAAATGGTTGTGCTCCAAACGTGGTGACATATACTGCTCTTATACATGCATACCTTAAAGCAAAGAAGGTGTCTGATGCTGATCAACTCTTTGAGATGATGTTGGCTGAAGGTTGCAGTCCTAATGTTATTACTTATACTGCTTTAATTGATGGTCATTGTAAAGCTGGTAGAATTGAAAAGGCTTGCCAGATATATGAGAGAATGAGAGGTAATGTGGACGTCCCTGATGTTGATGTGGGGCTTTGGTGGATGGTTTATGCAAAGCACACAAGGTTAAAGAGGCCCGTGATTTATTGCATGCTATGTCAGAAGAAGGTTGTGAACCTAACCATATTAGTTATGATGCTCTTATAGATGGATTTTGCAAGCATGGGAAGCTAGATGAAGCACAAGAGGTGTTTGCTAAGATGTCAGAGCAAGGGTACAGTCCAAATGTGTATACGTACAGTTCTTTGATTGATAGGTTGTTTAAGGATAAAAGACTGGATCTCGCTTCAAAAGTCTTGTCCAAAATGTTAGAACACTCTTGTGCACCAAATGTTGTTATCTACACAGAGATGATTGATGCCCTGTGTAAAGTTGGAAAAACAGATGAAGCCTATAAGCTTATGCTGATGATGGAAGAAAAAGGGTGTTATCCGAATGTTGTGACTTATACCGCAATGATAGATGGCTTTGGGAAAGCAGGTAATATCGAAAAGTGTGTTGAGCTTTTTAAACAAATGAGCTCTGAGGGTTGTGCTCCAAATTTTATCTCCTATGGGGTTTTGATAAATCATTGCTGTTCAACTGGACTACTGGATGAAGCTCATAAGCTTTTGGATGAAATGAAACAAACACATTGGCCTAAGCATATGGTAGGCTACTGTAATGTTATTGAAGGTTACAATAGAGAGTTCATGACCTCTCTTGGGCTTTCAAATGAGATGAGTGAATGTGACACAGTGCCAATTACTCACATATACGAAGTTCTGATTGATAATTTTGTAAAGGCTGGAATGTTGGAAGTGGCTCTTGAGCTGCTTAAAGAGATTTCGTCATCTTCACCGTTTACATCTGTGAACAAGAATATGTACACTTCATTGATTGAGAGTCTTTCACATGCAAATAAGGTCGGTAAGGCACTGGAGATGTTTGCAGACATGATGAGGCATGGTGGTTTTCCAGAGCTGGATACATTCTTTCATCTTATTAAAGGGCTTATTAAAGCTAACAATTGGGACGAAGCTCTTCAACTACAGATAGCATATGCCACATGGTTTGTCTCTCTAATTCGTCTTTTCTTCCATACTGTAGTTTTCAACTATTTCTATTACATGAAAATGTCTTTTTCCTCTTTATGTATATTTTCAATCATTTCTTTTCTTTATTTGGTTCTATCTTTTAGGTGGGAATATGATACATTTAATGCCCTAGAAAATGACAAAAAAATAAAAATAAAAAATTCCTATGGCTTTTATTTCTTAGGCCTTTACCTTTATATCCCTAAGCCCCACAATCAAACCCTAACCAAATAAACCTCAATCCAGTGCTCATAAAGAATTGTGCATAGAGAACATCTAATTTGCATTTAAGAAATATTGCATCGATAAAACATTGAACTACTTCTATACTGGTTTTAATTTTGAGAAGTGTTGAATTTAATGTGACATTTTGTGTTGTGTGAGCACATGCACAATTAAGGAAGCACGGTAACAAGTCTATTTGTTTCTGTATCAGCATGTAAATTTTATGAGTGGCCATGCATTTTACATCTGTGCATGGACCTTTAAGCCATTATTGACTATTTAAAGGAATGAATTAAGAAAATGTGACAATATTGGAACTCATGGACAACTACTTGAATGAATTGTTTGTTTGTGTATCTTATGTTGAATGGTTTGGCCAACTTGTCTGTTCAGGAGCATTTTTGTTCTTATCTCTCAACTTTGCCTTACTGTCTCGGTAGCATTTCGCATAAGTGCCTTCTGATTTGTTGTGGATGACCTATCTTACTATGCTGCAGTATGTGATTGAGCTGCCTCAAGCTGTAAATTTACAGTATCTACCTATAAGTTGTCTTTTGTGCTTTTTTAAGGCTTGTAAAGACCCTTTCTGTAGCATTTAGAGGTTAGTCCAGAATTTTAGATTCATTTTGGAAAGATCTTTGAAACATAATGATCACACAGATCTTTGATACCACAGTAGTAACCAGTAGGATTGCTTCTGCTCTCTAGTTCTTACGTTGGCTTCTTTTTTTCCTTTTTTTTTTTTTTTTAAAAAAACAGAACAATTTTTTTTTTATCCCAAAATTTCTATTTAATGACTTTAGATGATATGCTTTATTTATTTTGTTTTATCAATTTTTAAAACTATTATCAAGAGGTAATCTATGCTTGTTTGGTGCAAACTTCAATAGTATGGGAAGCTGTAATCTGAAACAGTTGGTGCTGCGGATATCTAATTGCCTCTGCTTGTCACTGTAAATTATTTGTTTTTGTTTTTTATTGTTCTTATATATCTCAATTATTTGCACAGGATATCCATTGGCATATGCAAGAATAGACATCTGACAGAAATTAGGGTGTTTTCTAGACCATCATTGTTTGTTACTCATGCACCATCTGATGACTCACTGGACCTGGTGACCTGGTTGACGGTTCTGTTGAGGAGTGGAGTGCATTTCTATCAGAGTCCGTGTGCAAGTATATGCAACATGAGGATGTGAATGAATGTTGCTTGCTTAATGAAGGGACTACATTTTTACTCCACTTTGTGAAGCGGCTAGAAATTCAAGAAAACTAGAACTTTTATCTCCTACCTATTCAGAGGAGGTATGTCATCTTATATAATTTCATAGCATGGTTACCCCAAAATCTTGAGAATGCAGGATCCAATACCAATATATCTCCATGATGCCTTCATGGATATCAGATATTCCAAATCTGTATCTTGTTAATTTCTTGGAAATTTTGATTTTTGGGTATGGGATGGATATGTGTGAGGCATATACGATGGATACACAAGGGATACAAGCAAGAGTACAAGGGGTTATTTGTAAAATTTCTATAGAAGAAATGGGGGGGTAGGATTGAAAAAGGGCATCTTGGTGGGCATTTTAAGATGTTAAATAAGTTAATATGAAAACAAAACAATTCGTTAGAATCTTATTTGATTGTAATATTCCTTGTGGTCTTCATATCTAGTTTTTGGAAAATTGTGATTTTGCAGTATCAACTCACATTTCCTAAATTGTATCCATACGACACAGTTTCGATGTTCTGCACCAAGGCTTTCAGATGATGCTGCTTAATGAGAATATGCAGCAGGTCTCTGCTGCTAGAATTTTTTTACTGCTCCAAAGCCATTTTCATGGTGAATCATCAGAAGGTCAGAAATTCAGGTTTTTATTATTCATATCTCTGCACTTGTTTAAATGCATCGTTGTTCACATACTTATGTACTAGGTACAGATAATTCACTATGTTATTTGCTACTTCAACATGGCAAGAATGATATTGCGCAGCTCTATTACTTACTGCTGTTGTTGCTCGTTGAGTGAGCAGGTTGGTGACGTGGAATTGAGTTCACGGGAAGTTGTATTTGATTTCCAATCAATCATATCAAGGTAGTAGTGTTATTAAAATATCCATTTCATAGTTTTGTTGGTATCTAGGATATGCATGAAAACAAAACAGTATTGTTCGAAAAACAGTTTACAGGATGAAATTTCTGTATGAGCTTGAACTTATTTTGCCTAGTTACTCTTACAGCAATTACTTATGAGTTATGAATTGAGTGTAATAAGGATTATGTGATCAGAGCTGCGTTTGGAAATTCTCCACAAGATCTCATAGGGTGTCTAATTTCAAATTGCAGGCATTATACAGATGCGAGAAGCTCCAGTCAAACTTCCTCATAATGACAAAGATGCCAGAAAAGTATGTCTGGGTGTGTTCGGTGATTAGTAAGTGTGCTGGAATTGTATCGAAGATGTTGAAATTGTGAACTTGAATGCAGATAGAGCATGTCTTACCAGCAGGGCTATCAGTTCGATTATATGGCGGATGGAGGGGACATGTCTGATTTTGTCAAGGATGTGGAGGAAGAAAATCAAGGTGGAGATATGGGTCTTGATGAGTATGACATGGTTTGTTTCCATCAACTCTTGGCTCCCATTGTTCAATCCTTTTTTTTTCCTGTTGTACTAAATGGACTTGAAATCCCTTGTTCTTGAATTTGAGCAGCTTACCAAAGTGTCAGATACGTCATCTGCACAAGCGAGAAAGGGAAAGGACATTCAAGGTATTCCATGGGACAGATTGAAGATAACAAGGGAAAAATACAGATTGACGAGGCTAGAACAGTACAGGAATTATGAGAACATCCCTTTATCTGGGGAAGCTGTGGACAAGGTTTTCTTCTTGTTCTCGAGCATTTTCTTCATTTCATTTCATTTCCCCAATTAGCAAGTCACTATTGAAGTTAGCAGACGTCACTGATAATATGTGTTAACTTTGACCAGGAGTGCAAACAAATGCAGCAAGGTGGAAATTACTATGACTTATTCCATAATACAAGACTGGTTAAACCTACAATCCTTTATTTCCAGGTTTGGAATTTGTCTGAGGTTCTCAATTTTGCAGGACATGTTGCCCCAACAGAGGTAGTACAACCTCCTGTACATAATTTGTATGATCTAGTTTCTTTGAAAGAAAATAAAGTAATCAAATGGATTGTTTTTCATTTTTTTTCAGCTTTTGTTGGTTTATGCTCTCTCCTTCCCCCTCCCAATTATGTTACTTACGTTGAAGTGTTCCTTATAATTGCTATTTGTCCTCTACTTATGTCCATAGTTTAAGATTGCCAAGTTCTATGGTCTTGCAGAAACATGCAGGAAGTTTATTGGAGGGTTTTATGCAGACTCAGATAAGCACACTGGCAGTCAAGGACAATTTTCTTGTTGCTGGTGGCTTTTAAGGAGAGTTTACTTGTAAAGTGAGTTTCTAATGTTTACATCTCAATAGCGTGTTGACAGTGCATGGCTGTTTGATGAGAGTTAAGTATTTCCACATTAGACGTATTGTTTGGTAAATCTGACAATTAGACTTGTCTGGGATCCTGCCATTCTGATGATTTTGCTTTGCCATTGACTTGTCAAGAAAAGAGCGAATGCCATTAGCTGGCTGGAAATTTGGTTACCGTATTTGATCTTGGAAAATTACTTCTTTTTGGGGTAGAGATATGACCTCGCTACCAGAGTTTTAACTCCAGTTTTGTTTGTCCTTTACCAATCAGAACAACTGGCAATAGCGGCTTTCAGGGGAGTCAGACATGAATAGCTTGGTTTTTATATTATGAGCTATGTTGTGTGGTGCTTGTAATTTCTGTCTTGAAATTAATACTTTCTACCTAGGAAAACAAAAATGAATTTTGTAATAATATTATTAACTTTTGTGAAAGGGGTGGTTAATATTTATTTTTTACACGTTGTATTGAGTGTGAGTACCATTTTGTACACAAGATTGTTGCATGTAGAAGCTGAGATTCTAGTATGGACAGGGAATTTTCTAAATATCTTGTAAAATGTTTGACTGAATTTAAGTTAAATGAAATGTAAGAACCGACTAATATTGGATATCAGTGACAGTGTGCCAGTAAGTGTTTGTTGAAGTATGTGAAAACTTTTTGGAATAGTCTTGAGGTTGAGGGTAATGGAAGCTGTTCTTGGATAGGCAACTTAAGAGACACCTTCTGGACTTGAACCTGGAACAAATGCTGGTTAGGAATTAGATTAGGAAAGTGCATAACTAATCCGGTGTACTAGGATCCGCACTGAGCTCAGTTTTTGGATAAGGAAAGTGGTTTTGTTGCTCTTTTGTTGTACTACTAGTAAGAATGGTTTGACCTAGTCCGTGCATTCATATCTTTGGTTTCCGCAATGGTTTGTTAATGAAATGATTAAATTCAACCGATGTGGTAGCTACTGATGGCATTTTAGGCGCTCATTTCTTGTTGGATGTAATTTGTTTCTTGTAATTCTATATTTGTCATTATCAGATGCAAACTAGCGCTTTAGTCTGTTGAAGGATTATTTTTCTGGTTAATGTTGAGTTAAGTATGGTTAATGTTCAGTTAAGTATTAAATCATATTTTTCTGTCTTTATCTGCAGTCTCTTGATAAACAAGGAGTAAGCCATCATAAATATACGATAGATTGGGGTATTTTAGCTAGTTCTGAAAATCTGTTCGTCTGAATTTTTTCTTTTAATAAAACACAACTTGATATAGAAACGCTTTTTCAGGGGTGGAATGCATTTCATGGCATCCAATAATGACTGCGGCATAAGAGAATATGACATGGAGAAGTTTCAGCTTTTGAATCACTTTCGTTTCCCTTGGCCAGTGAATGTGAGTCAT